CCAGCCCCACCACCATCACCAGCCCCAGCACCACAAGCTCCCCATCTGCCATTTTAACTACACCGTGTTTCTGCAAGATTGGCGATTCTGTTTTTTCCCCTGGTTAGTCTTCCTAGGTTTTTTGTCTGTTCTTCTCTTATGTGTTGTCTTTTCTTAATTTTGCATCCTTTTTTTGTAATCTTTTTCCTTCCTCATCAGAATGTCTACATTTAATTTTTTTTATGCCTTGTTAATTTTTTCACTTTTTAACTTTTTCTTTCCTTTTTTTTTCCTTCTTCCTGTGTTTCTCCTTTTTCTTTTTTTCTCCAGGTGAATTGATTTACAACAGGATGGATAGTGATGGATGTAGGTTTTACGCCGTCTGTAGTCTAGCCTGTACTGTTGAACGCCACAGTTTACCTTGTCATGTAACTACTCCTGTAGCCACTACTTCCTCTGAATGGTCTACTGTAACCACATCAGTTCCTCTGCCTACAAGTTCTGAAATACCACATGCTTATGGTTGTGTTTCTGCTACTTACCCTCCACTTCGGGTATGTAATTTGTTACTCTATTATTGTTGGAATAACGTTATTTGGTTGATTCCATAAAGGAACACCCTTTAGTCTTTAAGCCTTACATGTGCAGATAGTCAGAATTATTGTGCTAATGATGGGCAATATATGACAGATAGTTTGATTTTGCCTTCTTTATAATTTCTGGGTTTGGTACTGATAAATCAAGTGACAATATTCTTTTCGCATTAATTCTAGTAGAATGCTTTCTAATGCACTGCATTGCATAAATAACAAAACTTCTCTCTGAAATAACAGAGGGAGTTTTCTTGTGCATCGTATTTTTTTCACAAAACAGAAATATTGAAGCTACTTTGGTGACTTGTATCCATTTTTGTTCTCCTGCCCTCTTACCTGTACATCTGTACTCTTTTTTTTCTGGTGCTAGTCTTTGCTGACAGTGAAGCACACTATACATAGCTCGATAAAGAATATCGTTTCCTTTAACCCAATACTTATCCCCTCAAATCCCAGAAGATCTCCTGATGCAGATGAAACAGCTGAAATTAAGGTTCCCACCTCCTTTCAGCATTAAAAAAATCCCACTATACCATAAAACTAAAAATTGGAGTAAAGTCTATAGCTGTTTGCAAACTTCTCTGACAAGAATTTTTTTGATCATTTTGCAGCCTGGAGAAAGTTACAAATTATCCAACTGTACTGAAGTTGTCTGTAAGGGAGACAACAATATAGAAGTAGTACCAACGTACTGCCCACCTGTAAAGGAAATTACCTGTGCAAACAAATATCCTGCAATACTGGTACCGGATGAAAATGGCTGCTGTTACCGATATGAGTGTCAATGTAAGTACCAGTAGATTAAGGAATAACGTTTCCGGAAAAAAATAGCAAAGCTTCACACATATTATATGGGCATTTTCTCTTCTTAGGATTGCTCTAAAAATTGCAGTATATTCACTTCAGCTTCTAAATTCTTTCTTCTACATTAATTCTTATCTTAGTTTTCCAAATATTTTCGCCCTACCAGGTGTGTGCAGTGGATGGGGTGATCCTCATTACATTACTTTTGATGGAACCTACTATACTTTCCTTGAAAACTGCACTTACGTCCTGGTGAAACAGATTGTCCCTAAATATGACAACTTCCGTGTTTACATTGACAATTACTACTGTGACGCAAAAGATGGACTCTCCTGCCCTAAATCCATTATGATTTTCTACAAATCTGCAGAAGTGGTGCTGACTCGTAAACTCCTGAATGGTGTGATGACCAATGTGGTAAAGTACACTTTTTTGTATCTCTGTTTTTGCAAAAAAAAGAAAGCAGGTCCATAAGCCTTCTTGAGTCTGATTTGAAATACAGTCTCTTAGAATATCATGTCATGGAGGTGATCGGGGTGGGGGGTATTGTTAGGGGAAAAAAAGAAGAGATTGCACTGGATTTTGAGAACAAAAGGTTAGAAAAAGCTTAGCACTATGCAGATATAAATGTATTATGTATGCTCACGCGTAAATAATACTAAACAGAAAACAGAGTAATAAGCTGATAGGGAAGATACAAAGAATGCTTATACTCATGCTTGATTCATATTTCATGAAAACTGGTACATTCATTTATGCAAGCAAACACATTTTGGAGAAACACAAATGTAAGTCACAGGAATGATTCTTCTCTCAGGGTGAAGAAGGGTGTATATTCCTTATCAGCTGGATGACTAGGGACTGCTTCCTCTGCATAGGGAGCTTCAGGTGCCAGAGCCCTGACATGATTCCCCCTCCAATTTCCTACTGGGAAGAGAGGTATAGCTGAAGAAAAGGTGTGACTTGGGGTGTCACCTCACCTTCATAATCCTAAACTAGTGCTGGCAAGCCAGTGAAAACAGTATCAGTCCCACTGTTACACTGAGGAAACTATTAGTTGACTAGAGAATGCAAGAGGTGGGAAGAAAAGCTTGTATCAATAGGCACAGTCCCCTTACAGAGCTATGCCAAGTACTCAGTCAGAAAGGCATGCTGGTTCCAGCTTCCCTGTGAAAGAAAACAGGAACTGACAGATTTAACTCTTACTTTATACCAATTCAATGAAAAGAGAGTTGAGAATAACTACTGACAAAAATTATTAGGCAAATATATTCACCTTGATTAGCAGACATAAGATGCTGGCTGCAAATTGAAAACTGCAGATTAACAAATAAATACGACCACTACATAAAACTGGTACTAAGGACAACTGACTTCATTTTGAATTCAGACAACTCTTCCAATGCCAATTAACACGTAGTATAAGTACAGTGTGATTATGCAATAAAGTTATTATATAGTAATGGCAGGAATATTTCTGTAGCTAAAGAAATCAACCACCCATTTTCATATGAAAAATTTTTGCAATGCACAAAATTTATGAGGGATACAAAGAAAATACATGGATTTAGAATACTGTGCCTTAGCACACATTCTGCACAAATGCAGTAGAGACCACTTAGATTATTATCATTAGCAATATAAGTCAAGATATCAATGCAAATATATGCTCTTATGGCAATGCCAAAGGCCATTGGATATGCTGCATAACAATATGGAGTTATGAATAATTATGAAGATTAGAAAACATATTATTTGAAACAATGAGGCAGAAGCAGTGCTTATTCTGAAGTTGTGTTTTATGGTGTCGTTTTTTTTAACCCTGCATTCAGATGTACTTCAACAACAAGATTGTCAAACCAGGCTTCAAACAGGATGGCATTTCTTTCTCCACACTTGGCATCAATATGATCGTTGAAATAGAAGAGATTGGTGCGACCATCACCTTTAGTGGGCTGATTTTCTCTGTGAAGCTCCCATACAGCAAATTTGGCAACAACACCGAAGGACAGTGTGGTAAGACAAATGCACTAACTGGAGGTGGTTCTCTTTCCCCACCCAATCATGGCCATTCTCATCCACTCTGGCTATGCAGTCTCATGACTGGCAGAAATTTTCAAACAGCAGTAAAATGGAAAAGAAAATAGTTCTGCTCTTCAACTTCTATAGGATATCAAAAGCTCAACATTTCAGCAATCTGGTTTTGGGTTTTTGGGGAGGACTGTGGTTTTAGGTTTGTTTGTTTTTCTCTAGCCTAAATTACAGTTCATATAACTGTAAAGAAAACACTTCCTGTGAAGCAAGGCACCATATGCATTTCATGACCATATCATGTCTAAACATAGTACAGCAATATATTGTGCATCTCTGATGTGGCTTATCAGCTTACACAGCTTGTCTCTTCCAGGAACATGTACAAACAATAAAGCAGATGAATGCCGCTTACCAAATGGCCAGATCATTTCTTCCTGTCCCCAGATGGCTCATCACTGGATCGTTGACTACAATGAGACATGCCATGGAATACCACCACCAACAGTTATAACCACACCTAAACCAAAGCCTCAGTGTGAAACACCTCCTCTCTGCAAGCTTATCTTGAGCGAGTAAGAAAATACAATGACCAAATTCATTCTTTCTAGATGAAACTATCTCAGCATCTTACAAGAAAAATAACAGCTATAGCACTAGATTGTGATATAAGCTGAAAAGGTCAGCTTAATGACAGAATATATATAGCAAAAGGCCTTTGTAAAATAAACTGCTCTTCTTTAATCACTTGCATGACAAAGAAAACTGAGCAAGGAGAGGTGAAGTCAGAAAATACTTCCAGGGTATGCTCATTAACTCTAAGTCACACTATTAAGCAAAGACTGAACTCTAAATCTGAAGTAGGTCTTCAGTACAAATCATAAAGGACCATAAAGAACAAATAGGTCAACAGAGCAGACAGAAATGGACAAAAAGCCTCCTTCTTTCTCTGTTTTATGTAAAACATGGAGCTCCAAAAACAGAAAGGCTTGTTTCTTGGAGTATTTCCTATACTTGTGTAGGCTGAAAAAAGCTTTCTTTCAGCTGAGTCACTTATAAAGGCCCTCTTACATGTGCCTGCTGTAGTGTCTAATCAGTTAGGAGTTATTTTATGTGCAATTTTTTCTATCTCTAGACTGCTTTTGTAATTCTTTTTTTCTCAATCTGGTGCAGTTGCCTTTTACACTAGGTTTCTGGTGTCAGGCTGATGAAAAGATATGTGCATATACAGAAACACTATGACTATGAACCTCTTTAGAAAAAAAAACAACAATAGAGCTTCAGGTTTCCTGATCTTTCCTGAATCTATCCCCCAGATTATTGGCCATTCGTAGGGTTTTGTTTCTCATAAAACATTTATTTCTGAAGTAGAGAGTCACATGCTATTAACTGGAAAATGCTGTCTGGCAGGAACAGATTTTATATAACAGCTCATTAACATAGACGGGGTTGATTTCTTTACTGCCTGCAGGATTTTTGCAGAATGTCATACCGTGATACCACCAGAACCATTTTTCAAAGGCTGCGTTTTCGATGGGTGTCGCATAGACGATGAATCCATGCAGTGTTCCAGTTTGGAGATATATGCTACAGAATGTGCTGCAAGAGGTGTCTGCATCGACTGGAGAGGAAAGACCAACAGTACATGCTGTAAGTATTGCAGAACTCCAAATGTGTGTGATAAATGGTGGAAAATAGTGTTTTATTCAGTAAACACAACTTATATCTAACGCTTGGCTACTGCCCAGTGATGTCGTTTCTCACAGAAGCTGCAGATGAAGAAGGTAAAGATGCAGGCACTTTAGCTGCAAAAATGCTTCTACTGTCAATTATTAATCTTTGTCATCTTCTACCCTACAGCATTAAACTGTCCAGCAAGCTTGGTGTATAAGCCATGCGGGCCCATTAATCCTGTTACCTGTGATCAAAGGTATGGAAAGACAAAAACCCCACCCTGAAACAACTGCTTATAATTTTCTTTTTTTTCCATTATTACCTATCTATTTTCCTTAGACGTTTGAGTTATATCACAATGAAATGCGTTGTGAATTTGAATAATTTAGTCAAGATGTATAAATATCAATCAGCTGTATGAATATGTGCTTCCTGTTGCACTACAGAAGGTGTAAATTCTTTTGTCTCTTGTATCTGTCATAATGACATTCTACATATGCTGCTCTGTCTCCTACTTCATTACAAAAATGTTGTACTCACATATATTCCTACCGTTCTAGCTTTATTCAGCTTCCTGGCTATGGAGTAACTGAAGGCTGTTTCTGTCCTGAAGGAACAACACTCCTGAGTACAGAGAGCAACATCTGTGTCTCTGAATGTTGTAAGTAACCTGCAGCTAGTCCGGGGAATAAATAGAGATCAGGGTTGTCAGTCAGGAGGCCTGAGTTCTACTGTCATCTTCTCCATGCTCAGATCACTGGCAAATCAATCTCTTTAAGCTCCTTTAGTCGCCTCATCCAAAAAAATAGAATAATAATCAATATTATCTTTTTTCATTATCTTTCCTTACATGAGACCCACCAAGATGGTAGAACTCTACCTTTGACAAGAACTAGTCTGCATATTCATTTTCTCGTCAGTATTATCTTCACAGTGTTTCTATTTGAAATTGCACAAATGTACTCTAAATGTCAGTTTTCAGTGCTGTAAATCAAATTCATTTGTTCTTTGTTTTTTCCTTTTTTCTTTCTAGCTTGCAGGGAACCAAATGGAGTATCCAGATGGGTGAGTATTATATTCAGTGTGGCCTCATGAGCATAAACAAGTGAAACAAGGATATTTAGTGTTCTACTAAACCAAACCTTTACTAGATTGGGGGAGACTTTATTTTTTCAAATGTTTGTTCCCTTTGAGCCTTAAAAATAATGAGGGCTAAAGCAGCCCTAAGAAATTTAACTGTAAGTAATTAAATAGTCTCTCAATAACCTTATATACGTTAATAAAAATAACACCAAAACAAAGAATAAAGAGAGAGAAAGAGATGAAAGGAGATAGATCGTAGTACTCTAAGTTTGGCATGTGTGTTTCTTTCCTATCCACAAATTTGTCTTGCTAAAGTTACTAGAAATGAAGGAAGAAATGGATAACAAATTTTATCTGTTGCTGATAATGTTCATAGTCTACATTCTTAGTTCCTCAGCTGCATACGAATCTGCAGCCTAATGTGCAAATAAGTATGTCATATGATCATTTCTTATTAAAAAACACATGCAAAGCTCAATCATCCTCTTTTAAAGCTCCTGTATACCTCATACTAACATCACTAACAAATAGAAAGTGATAGCTTTGGGAACACACTCAGAACCTTCAGTGGCCTCCAGTATCTTCCCCTAATAAGCTCCAGTTTGAGGGTCTCTTATAAAATCTACAAATATGCAAAGGCTGATGTAATCAGGTATCACTGTATTCATGAATATACTGAGTAGAGGCAAATGGAATTATTTTGGTTTGAATTTATGTAAAATTTTTTTCTTCCCTTTGTGTGTGTTTTTGGTTTTTTATAGCCAGGAGAAAAATGGACAAACAATTGCCGGGAGTGTGTCTGTGACAAAAATACTCTTAAGGTGCACTGTACGAAACATCAGTGTCCCTGGGGACAGCAAGTATTTTGTGATGAACCAGGTTACATGCCTGTTGAGATACAGATACCAGAAGATCCATGCTGTACTAGGACTGAGTGCTGTAAGTACTGTCCTAGTTCTTTATCAAAGGGAATATACTCTGTTCATTTGGGGAAACTACAGCAATAATTTCTCAGTTTTTGATACTTTGCATTGATGCCATGATGCTTTTCACCCTCATCCCACTTTTTAGGGCCTTCCTTCTTGTAGACCATATACTAGATGTCTGAAGATAACGAATTTATAGATTAAAAGATTTTATACAGTTAGATACAGAAAAGTAACAGAAAATCTTCTACAGTTTAACACTGAAAACCTTTTATGCTGCCACCATCTGAAACTACTCAAAGCAGTTTCCACCTCAGAGACCAGTATTAAGAAAATTATCTTAACTTAAAAAAATAGTCTTGAACATTCAAATATTGCTCAAGAAAGTTCCTGAATCACTGAGAGTAATCAGAATTCCCAAGTGGTGCAAATTTCTCTTTGGAATTATCTTTTTCCAGTAATCCCCAATCTGTTCTTCTCACATAATGTTTTGTTTTACAAAGGTTATGGAAAAGCCCATTCACCTTGAAAACAGGTGGGCATAGAGACTGAATTAGTCATTAAACTATCTTATGTAAACACCACCATATTTGCCAGATGGGAAAACTTCTGAAGTTCATGTAGAACAAAATTGCTTTCATTTAAAAATTCTAAGTTCATTGCTTTCTATATTCTCTTGCATGAAACAGACTGCAACACCAGTCTCTGCCCTGAGGTCACACCCCAGTGCTTAGAGGGACAGGAAGTAGTCACAACAATGCAGCCTGGAAAATGCTGTCCTACCTTTGAATGCAGTAAGTGTTGTGCACCTTCTTCATGTCTTATTTACTGCTTTCTTTTTCTAAGTTTATGAATACTAAAACCTTATAAAAGAAAGATCCAAATTATCTGTGTTATCATACTGGGTTCTTTTGGGTCCCTTCCAACTCAGACTATTCTGTGATGTTGGGCTTTGTCGTGAATGAGTGGTTTAGGGTGGCCACCACAGGCCTACAAAGCATAAGTTTTTTCACACACTTAGCCTTTTAAAACTTACACCTCTATGACACCATTTTTCCTCCTTCTTTACAGAACGTGGCTGTGTAGTCAATGAAACCTACTATGCAGTAAGTACACAGAATAACTCACTATAAAAATACAACTTCACATAGTTCACAAAGAGTTTCTGAGACTCCTATCATGGTCTGTGTTTTGCAGAAAGGCCTTAGATAAAACATTATACATTATTTAATTGAGGTTGGCATATGAACACCCTCTATACAAGCAAAAGCATTTTCTGCTCTCCTTTCTGCATTGGCAGAATTTAACTCCAAAGTGGATATTACCAAACCAGAAAATCTGCTTAAATAAAACAACCAAAATGGTATTTATGGATAGTTTGGCCTATACATAGTTCATCTTTGTGTTGTCTGTGACGTACATACACAGAGTAAATTGCTTTTACTGACCAGTAATGACTTTTATTCCTGACTTCCTCTAGCCTGGAGCTGTCATTCCATCAGGCCCCTGTGAAGAATGTACCTGTTCTGAATCCTTTTACACAAAGCCTCACCGTGTTACTGTCAAGTGCGAGCCTGTTATCTGTGACACATACTGCCCACTGGTGAGTGCTATTTTGCTGTCAGAAATTCGTACCCCACTCAGTTCAAATAATCACCAGTTAAGGTCAGTGACCTGACTCAATGTAATTTCCTCTCTATTTCTTTCAAAACAGGGTTTTAAGTATACAGAGGAACCTGGACAATGCTGCGGCTCATGCAAGGCAGAGGCTTGTGTAGTGACTGTGGGAGACAACATTACACACATGCTCCATGTAATTATCTCTAGGTTTTTTCCCCTTTTTGTGAACTCTGGTAGTCTTTTCATTCTTTCCTCTCCTTATATTTGTCACATTTATTTCCTGCAACTTTTCTCATGCTAGACAAATGCTTATTCAAGAAGGGAGTGGAATGTCTCCTCACAGCTTGAGCAGTACCTTAAGCCATGAAATTCCAGTTCTAAGAATTCTGGAAGCAACTGTGATACTGAACAATGGCTTCCAGAAATCTACATAGAAAAACACATAGGTGAAAGCAATGGATCCTTATTTGCCTTCAGCTCTGAAAATGTAGCACCCATTTTGCTCAAAGGATAATTTGATCTGTGGAGGCAGTTTGCTGCTCCAAACAGTCATTCTTAAGTTAGCTGAGAGCTTTTGGACAGGATGAGTCACTGAAGCTATTAGAAATTCTGCCATATATCTGAATGGACATACCCATAAATTATGATACAAAACCATTGGAACACAAATTATTCTTTCCAAATGAATCCATATTCTTATAGTATTCACACAAAAAGCATGTACATATCCAAATAAAAACAGAGTCTCTTCACTGGGTTAATGAAAAATACTGACAGCAATATGATAAGATGGCAAGCAGCTATGAGCTGGAATTCAAGGAAATTGTTCAGAATAATCAAACTGCAGTGGACAGCAATGATAAGACACTGAGGGGGGGTTGTTTTGGGGTTTATATATATATATATGATTTTTATTCACTTTAATTCTGACTACTTCTTTCAGGAAGGAGAATACTGGAACCCACCTGGTGATAACTGTACAATTTACACATGTGAAAAACATGCTAACCAGTTCATTCAAGTCGTCTTACAGAAAAACTGTCCTCACTTCAACCCTGATCAGTGTGATCCAGTAAGTACTCTTCTGCCAGCTCTCATGTTTGAAAAGGTTCCAGTGGCTAACAACAGTGATAGAAGGACCATGGTGTCCAAGGAAAATACCTAGCAGAAGCATCATACAGGAAGTACCTCTCCTTTTGTCCTCTCTGAATCTGGTCCCCATCAACTTTTATTCAGAAAAGCGACTCAGAATTAAATCGGGTGATATATCAATCCCCACTGAGGATTGGGCACCTAGAGAAAAGGGTACAGCAAAATGTTTTGGATTCCTAAAAGTGTCAGGTCCTAGAAGCAAGAATCTTGCTGAAAAATAATACGGGTTTTATTCCTAAAGTACTTCGATTATAAATATTTTTTTAGGCTTTTTAAAGAATTCACTAATTGAAAGGAAAGGTGAAAATAAGCTACTTCAGTACACAACATCATTCACCAATTATTTAGTTATTTCATTTATTGTGTTATTCTGTCCAACATAATCCTTCACCTGTACTGACTTTGGTCACTCGATATTTTGACCTATATGCGCTGCAAGCTTTTTTGCTGAAATTTTACTTCTGAACTCTGATAACAACAAAGCAGTTCTGGTCCTTCTCCATTTCAGCTTTCAAAGAAATCTTATTAATATTGAAGTAGTTATGTGCCCTTAATATTTAGCCTTGTTTGAAATTGGATTCCATGTCAATAGGAAGAAAAACCTCTCTGGTGCCAGAGAACCTTAGGAAGCAAGGAAAATCTCTGATTTAGTGTGCAAATATGAAACCTGAGTTACCTTTTCGTTTTCACACTCCAGGATGACGTCAAGATGTCTGACGATGGCTGCTGTCTAGAGTGCAAGAAACCAAAGGGTAAGTATTGATAATTTTCTTAAGAATAAGTAATTATAATATGTCCCTTATTAGGTATATTAGCCCATTTTGCATGGAAGATGCATAGACAGAAGAGGTGAACAGACCAGTTTTGGTATCACTGCTTCACACTGGGGTGAGAAAGGAAATGAGTGGAAAAAGAAAGGAATGGAACATATCCACTATGCATTTTAGGGCCTTGGGAAACATAGATATGGTGAACTTTCCAGTTCTCTACTGTTAAACATTAGCTTTGCTGTGAAAGGGTGAGAACTATGACTATTCTCCGATTTCTATAGATACATTCTCTTAAAGAAAGTGAAGTCAGTCCTAGCAGGTGGGTGTGCATTGAGCAGTTGCCACAGGACTGCTCTTTATTTCTGCATCCTGCACCAAAGTTGCATAAGATAAAGGAAATTTTTCATCCATTGATAACTCAAACAGCAGGAGTATTTATTTTGCCCTTAGTAATAAGAAGAGAAATGCACTGACTTAATTTCCTATTTCAGCTCCATCCATCTTAGCTTTCAAGTATAAGCTGTTTATCATACCCAGCTATCTATTTGTGTGCATATG